ACTACAAACTTCACACATTGCAACACAACAAAACATAACACCACACATCATGATATAACACTATACATTGTAACATACCGTAACATAGAACACTACAAACTATACTAAAACACATAACAGAGCACATTGTAACACAACATATCATGATACAATGCATTATAAGACATTATAACTAAACCCAACACATTATAACACATAATGTACCACCACAAAATATAACACAACATAACATAAGACAACACATTGCAACACAAGATAATATAACAGGACACATCAGAACACAAAATAATATAACAGAACACGTTTTAACACATAAAAACATGAGAAAACACATAAAACAGCACCTAAAGCATTGTAATATAACACATCTCTGCAAAACTCATTACACAACATAACATAAAAGAATTATGACACATCATAACGTAGCACAGTATAACAACATAACATAACACATTATAACACATCACAATGCTTATAACAAATCCTTATATAAACCAACACATTATAACGGCATAATCTTTTGTTATTTTATGTTCTGTTGTGCTGTGTTATATTGTGTTATGTGTTCTGTTATAATGCATCTTGTTAATTAAACTATCTTATGTTATAGTAGTATAGTATAGTATCTTCGGCATTGAAGAATAGGCCTGTCACCGATTTTTGTACTTTTCTTGACTAGACTGGCCTTTTGATCAAACCTTTTCAACTAATGGTAGATTTAAAATTGCTTCTAGATGTCAGTTGTTTCGTAGGATACGAGGCATTTCAAGACTAAACATATTCTCCTGCATGGCCTTGTCTAGTCTGTTTTTGAAGGCGTTCATACTCGGAGCGTCAACATTATCTTCAGGGAGGCTGTTCCACATATCGGTGACTGAAGGCGAGAAGAAATGTTGTCGCGTGGATAAGTTCCACCGCAGTTTTCTTAGTTTATAGCTGTGGCCCCTGGAGTTGGTTCTTGTTTCAAATTCTAGTAATCCTTCTGGGACCTTGTACAAACCATGAGTATACTTGTATACTTCAATGAGGTCACCACGCAGGCGACGATAATGGAGACTGGGAAGATTCATAATCTTCAATCTTTCTTCATAAGACTTGCCCTTTAAGCCTGGAATTATCCTTGTTGCACGTCTTTGAACACTTTCAACTAAATTTTTATCCTTTTCAAGTCTCGGTGACCACACAACGTTTCCAAACTCTAGGTTTGGGCGCACGACAGAGGTGAACAACAGTTTCATCATTTCAATATCTAGGTACTCATAGGAGCATCTGATCAGCCCAAGCAGTTTATGGGATGAATTAACTTGCATTTCAATATGCCTATAAAATTTTAGCTCCTTGTCAACACAAACTCCAAGATCTTTTTCCACGCAAAACTTCTAAATCATGTTGTGTTGCAATGTTTTGTATAATGTTATGTCATGTGTAGTGTGACACTATGATGTGTTGTAATGTGTTAGGTTGAGTTTATGTCTTATAATGTGTTCTGTCATATGTTGTGTTTCAATGTGTTCTGTTATGATATGCTATGGTATAATTTGTTGTCTTGTTCTATGTTATGTTATTACAATATATTATGTTGTGTTGTGTTACATTATGATGTTACATTGTCTCCTGTTTTGTTACAATATATTGTTATGTTATAATGTTATGTTATATTGTTATGTTATAATGTTATGTTTTGATATTTTGTATTGTGATATTTCTTGTTATAATATAGTGTGTTATAAAGTAATGTGTTCTTATGTTGTGTGTTATGCCACATTGATCGTAAAGTGCATGCGTCAGTGCTCTTCATCGGGCATTTGCCAAATCGATCATAGCTCACATGTGTCAGTGTTGCACATCAGAAACGCGCCAAATCGATCGTAAATCGCGTGCGTCCGTTTTGATCATCAGGTATCAGCCAAATTGACTGTAAAGCACATGCATCAGTGTTGATTAATGAACATTGGCCACATCAATCGTTAAGTACATGCGTCTATGTCGATCATCAGGCATCGGCCAACTTGATCACGCAACAAGAGCGTCAGAATCGATCTTTCGGCATCAGCCACATCCATCTAAAAATGCGTGCATCCGTGTCGATCATCAGGCATCAACTTAATCGATCGTAAAATGCGTGCAGAAGTGTTGGTCATCAGGTATCGGCCACATTAAACAAAAAGCGCGCGAGTCTGTGTCAATCATCAGGCATCGGCCGCATCGATCGCAAAGTACGAGTGTCAAAATCGATTATTGGGAATTGGCTATATCGATCGTAAAATGCGTGCATCCGTGTTCATCAGACTGTGACTACATCGATCGTAAAGTGCGTGAGTGCGTTTATCAACACTGTGCTGATCATCAGGCATGGGCCACATCGATCGTAAAGCGCGTGAGTCTGTGTCGATCATCAGGCATCGGGTGCATCTATCGTGAAGTGCGAGCGTCAAAACCGATTATTGGGTATCGGCAACATTGATTGTACAGTGCATGCATCCGTGTCGATCATCAGGCATCGACTACGTCGATCGTAAAGTGCGTGCATAAGTGTTGATTATTGGTCATCGGTCACATCGATCGTAAAGAGCGCGAGTCTGTGGCGATCATCAGGCATTGATCGTGAAGCGCGAGCGTCAAAATAGATCATTGGTCATCGGCCAAATCAATCGTAAAATACGTGCATCCCTGTCGTTCATCAGGCATTGGCTACATCGGTCGTAAAGTGNGTGCATTAAATAAGCTCGCCAACGTCTCGCCACTCAACCACGCGTAAATCAACGCTACAACCCAACTACGGTGGCCCTTGGACGCGCATCAACCTCCTGCATCAAAACGAGCAGGTCACGTGAGCTGAGCTAATAAATAACCTAACAATTTATTGTGTGTTCATTTCTCCCAACCAAATTCGTCCTGCCGATCTCTATGTTTCCGTCCGTGCCTTGGTAAACAATTCAGGTTAACTAGCTAGGCCGGTTAATTCTCTGATAGGAGTTAAAATAATTTAATGTGGAGTGGTAAAAGAAAACCCCCACAACAGCATTAGACCCTGGAACTTATTTTACGGACACGCCTCGTAAAATATGTACAAATTTATAAGTTCATCAATGATGCTAGCTGTCAATTAATGATTTTTTCCAGGTTTAACTCCTAAAATCGCATTAACTCATACCAAGTTTATCCACTTCCCGCTGTCGAAACCACACGACACTCAGAACCTCTAATTTAATCGAAACGGCTTTCCCTTCAGATTTGTCGGTAGTAATGATTTTACTCCTGCTGTTAATCATGTCATATTTATCATGAGTAGAGTCTTCTGATATTTTGAAAGGGCCTCGGGGTTAAAGAGTCGACTAGAAGATGGATATATGCAATCACATAACACTCAAGTTCAAAGGCATCGGAGACCGATTGTAAATAAAGAAATGTAAACAAGACTCTGATTGACTATTGAGCAACATGTTTCTGACAATTCTAGTTTAGCAAAGTAGCATAAGCAAGTTATGATAAAGCGAAAAATTTCTCCACGTACGCAACTTCTTGAGCGTCAGTTCAAGAATTTACGTACACTTGGCGAGGTTTTAATGATCCATTCCCTCATCAACTCAGACGGCAGGCTTTAAAGCAAGATGTCCGCCAGCCAGCGGTCACAAGATGGGTGACCGGGCGGAAGCGGTAGCTGTGATCTAATTGTATGTCCTCAAGCTAGATAAAATAATACATTATTGCTGTGGGTAGACCCGCTACAATTAGTCATAGAAAATCATATCTGTTAAGTAGTGGTATGGTTGTCTAGCGCTTCAGATATCAAGCTAATCCACGCCGGAGGTCAAAATAAACATCGCCAGCAAGGCAGAAGGTCTCAATTACTGAAAATTTCTCAAATCATTCATCACCCACAAGGGGCTGAAGCTGGCAAGAAGCGACGTTAGCATCTCAAAGAGACGAAGTGACAAGGAAGTGACAGGTGAAAGAAGCGGGAGGTCTCAAGTGTCCAGCCCGACGGCTAATATTTCGTTGGCTTACAGCTCATTGGCTCGCTGGTACACTTCCATGAAGGAAATTTGTACCTTAGGCTTTCAGCACATAATACCGTAGGTTACTTTACCCTGTAGCAGGCTTGTGCGTGGGAAGGAGTATGCAAGTGATGCTGGTATTGGGCAATGCTGGCCTCCAACATGCATACCGTCCAGATGTATGTAGCTATCGAGAATTGCAAGTAAGACTACATCGGTTGTCTATTAAGATAAAAGTTGTACGAGATAACTTGTATCCGAACATTGTCTTCAATTCGTGATGAGCAATCATCAATTTTTTGGGACGTGTTGACCAATCAAGAATAGATGAGAGGCGAAGCAACTTCTAATAGATTTTCTACATATAAGTTCCGAATAATTTGCTTGTTATGCGTTCGTGAAATTTCTACCGAATGATAACATTCATGCGTCACGAGTCAGTAATTACAACATTGCTTCCTTATTCGGCTATAAGCATCTTATTCCTGCCCGGATTCTGTCATCTACGATTTCTCAACGCAGTTTAGCTCATCAGCGTACGTCGGAATGCCGTCGTGTAACTTCTACATCTGAGTTGCTGAACTCTGCGGCAAATATTTTTCAATCTAGAGTCCTGCTATAACTTTTTAAAAGACAGAAAACTACAAGTGGTGAAGCAAAACTATTTTAGTTTGAATTCAGCACACCCAACTTAGCAAAAAACACCTATAACCATTCTTGTCTCGGACAAAAAGTCTTTCGCTACAACCAATGTAAAGGGTTGCATAATAAATGCATCACATATATTTGCAAATAAACACAAAATGGGTCAAGAAGCAAATCTAGCAATTTGAGGTAGAAGGAACACAAGCGCGCTGGGCTCCAGGTCCATTATCTTGACCCCGACTACAGAAGACGATGGGCCTTATCGTTATCAGCGTCGACAGCTTGACGGACATGAAACTTTTCCGCAATAAGCGAAAAAAAGGAAGAACACAATGTAAATACAATCAACACATGGATTTTGGCACGCCATCAATTGAGGACAGATGAGTAATAACAAATTTTAACGGTAAGTGCTGAGCCCCGAATGGAGAAACTAAACTTAGGGGGTTAGTGAAACTTAATAGTTAGAGGATTAATATTCCTGTTCGCTTCCATCTACCAATATAACGCTAATCAAGCTAAAATATAACGTTGACCAAGGTAAAATATAACGTTAACCACGGTACAATACAACGTTAAACAAGGTGAAATATAGCGTATAATAGTATCATAACCGTTATATAATACAAAATATTATTTTGATAATGTAGCTGAGAGAAATGAACATCTTATAGCGAGGAAATAAAAGCGAGATTCTCCAGCAATAATCAAAGAGGGAAGATTACTGATTTTCAATGTTTGGTGGAGACATGCTTCACAAGATGGGATTTCCGAGCGGCGCGGTATTGACAAACTTCGCACTTGTGATTCTTTACTTTCAGGTGCACCGCATCCACACGTTGCTTCATATTCCCACGATAATTTGAGGCAAAATAACAGTAAGAACATTTAAGCAGTTTCAGATGAGGAACATCCCTGTGCATCATAAGGTGACCTCGGAAAATCGTAGAAAATTTGCACTCAGAACATTTCTATATACTCTGTGTGATAAGCCAATTGATTTTCAGTGTTTACGAGCAACATGGCTTATGAGCTTAGACTTGCTAGTGGCGCTGTACTCACAAACTCCGCACTTGTGTTTCCTTATTTTCAGATGCACCGCATCAACATGTTTCTTGAGATCCCCGCGATAACTTGCAGCGTAATCACACTGCGAACATTTGTGTTCCCTCAAATTCATGTGCACCGATTTCATGTGCTGTTCTAGCTTATTTTTCTGGTAGAACCCGCGCTTGCATGTCTGGCACTTGTGATGTCGTAATTTTAAATGAACACTATTAACATGATAATCAAGATGCCCTTTAGTGCTGCAAGTGTAGTCACATTGAGGGCACTTGTGAGGCTTCAGCTTCAAGTGAACGCTAGCAACATGCGTAGCTAGTCCTGCTTTGGAACACACGGAATAGGAACAGTGCGGGCACGCGTGCGGTCTGTCTTTGAGGTGCACCCTGGAAATGTGAGTTTTTAAATTACTTTTGATAGAAAAGTAGCTGTCACACTCATCACATTTAAAAGGCTTTAGTTTCGAGTGAACGGCTTTTATATGGAGCGTAAGGCTACTCTTCACGGCGGCAGCGTAGGCACATTCAGGACATTTGTAGTGCCTGAGTTTCTGATGCACAACTGTAATGTGGTCACGAAGACGTGTTTTAGTTGCGGCAGCATAAGCACAGTGAGCGCATTTGTGTGGTTTTAACTTCAGATGCACAGCTTTTATGTGGTTGTTGAGGGTGCCCTTGGAAGTGGCAGCATAGCTACAGTCAGCACACTTGTAAGGTTTCACTATTAAATTGGCGTCGGCGAAATGGTTATCCAATTGGAAATTGCAAGCACCAGAATGGGCATTAGAGACGTGACGCTGTAGCAACACAGGAGAGGAAAAATTGATGCGACAAACTGTGCACTTGAATTTCTTCTGCAGTGCATGCGCTGTGTTTAAATGGGTTTTTAAATGAGAAACCTGACTGGAGGCATAATCGCACTTAGAGCACTTGTGGGGCCTCAATTTAAGATGAACTGCGTTGATATGTCGGTCAAGATCACATTTAAGGCGGAAAGCTGCGTCACAGACATGACACTTGAGAGTCTTCTCTTTGTTACGACGTACGTGGGAGGTTGTGGAAGAAATTGCCTCCTTCATAGAAGCATTTAGAAGCTTAGAACGATTGAGGGATGTCCTTCGCAGACTATCAGTATTTTTAGAAAAGTTTAATTTATTTTCTTCACTTGAATATGGTCCTCCACTTCTGCCCACGTTTTCACTGTGCATTTTAGGTCGCTCTGAATCTTCGCTCCCATGATCAGGATGAGGCTCTTGAAATGCTATTTCTTCTGAGCAAATATTATTTTCATTTTCTTCATCGCAAACGTATTTGTAATTTTCAGAAACATGAATGCGTTTCAATAGTACACTGCATTTTTTTAATTTGACGCACAGATGCTTTGAACGTTTGAAATCCACAGAATTGTGCGCCTCTTTCGCCTTAGAAGAAGCCTCTCGCGTTGCAGGGACAGTTCTCGTTCCATTGTAGCTGAGAACGTTACAATTTACTGATGGTGCAGGAGTAGGAGGAAGGCGGCCATTATTAGGCGAGCGAGCTTCACCAGCTTCTTGTTCAGTGGATGAGATTTTAATTTCATTTGTTTGACTCTTGCCCTTGGAAGTTGAAGTTTCTGAAGGCGGAAGAGCCATTGAAGCACCACAATTGTGCACCTCCAGAGAAGTAGAGGCTAAGCAGGCAGTCTCAGAGGCTTTTTGAACAGCGGTAAAGATTCCTGCCCTTGTTGGGAGTTCTTGGTTTGCAGGAGGAGCCTGGGCGATGGATGGAGATGCCCCAGCCTCGACAGGCTCTGCCTTGAGAGAATCCAAGCCCAGGAATGGAATTTGGAACGGTTTGAAGTCAGTAACTGTAGCACTGTCCTGCTCAGATGGAAGAAATGATACTAAATCTATTTAGACTGAATGTTGACGTACTAAAAAATAAGTATAATATTTGGGAGAACTTGGTACAGCAACTCGGAGGCTAATCAGACGAATTTACTAAGTTTCATAACAGACATGCAAATTTAGGCCACTTTCATGGCAGTAAATTGGATATCTACCATTTAACTACTAATTAATCTATTTAAAATTTAAACTCAATCAAGATTGTATTGTAAAACACAATCATACCTAATAAAATTTGCTAAACATTTATTATGCAAGCAAATGGTTACCGGGAAATCGAAAATTTATCTGAAGTTAAATAATGATAAATAGATACCTACTACCATCAAAAGTTTCTTATAAATAGAAAATCTGTATAAGTAATATGTCGTAAATTCAACACTGAAAATAAAAAAAACTATACTCAGTTTCATAATAAAAGAAAGGCTCTGACATCATGGATAGAAGAAACTATAAAGCATCTTGGAAATAATGCTAACGAAGCAAGTGCCCATATCTTCCTTCATGCGTAACTCAGAACTTTGCTGAACTTCATTAGGCTATTATTGGGCTTGGATTATTGATTAATTTCATAGAATAATAATAACAAAAGAAAATTCTTCAAAGGAAAATCTCTAACTTCTTCCATGAAGAAAGGTTCCTCTTTCTCCACTTCAAGGAAGCCAGCTGGGAGCCCCGAGTCACAGTTTGATTGCTGCCCATCACAAGGCTCAATCTTCACAGCTTCTGCAAGTGCCACAACTTGAGTACTGATTCAATTATTGAGGAACATACTTCAAAATTGTCATTAGTTACTGACCTTATCATATATGGTCAAAATATCCTTTAAACAAGGATTAGAAAAGGCAAACATTTTACCTAAAGTCACATACTAGTTTACTCTAATTTGAAATCTTATTGCTTACACACATGAAGCTTCTGCCCAATTACACTGTACAAAGTTTGTCAACTAAGAAATTACTTAAGTAATGCACAAGTATTGAATATTATTTCTGAAGAAAATCTTGAAAACATATAATTTGGTTATGAATAAATCTTGACATTCTTGTCTATAAATATGGAGTCGTACTTTCAAAACATTGCCAAGTGTTTGTAGCAACTCAAGTACTGCACAAGTCTGCTAAGTATGCATAACTCTAAAATATGGTAATAAAGCAATTGGAAATGAGTTTGAACTCTACAGTGAACTGTGAAATTTTTTTTTTTATATTTCTTAGTTCTTCACAAGTTAACTGTTTTTGTGCTATCGGTGAACCAATTTGTTTCACATTTGTGTTGATCCGGGCTAGTTAATTGATTTCAATAAGTATAAGTTTGAGAAATTGGAAGCAAATTATTGATTTAAAACAACAAAGTTTCAAGTCATTACTTTATAATTGTAATATTAGTGTATTATCAAATGATGATGTTTTTCATTTATCAAACCTTATGATAATGATTCCTATCATTCCTGCTGACACAGTTTGATTAAATAGGACTGTGGGAGTTAGCATTTGTTCTTCCAATTTCCAAGATCCAATTTGACTAGTAGAGAGAAGTTTGGTAACACATTAAGAATCTTGGCTATCCATCATTACTATCAAGCAGGATGGAATTCTAAAAATTAAGGTTCATATATTATTTCCAATTCATCTTCACCACTTTCTTATCCAAAAATTTTAGTTGAGATGGAAAGGATAAAAATAGGGAGGGATTGAAGTTACACTTGAAAGAATCAAGAATGAAGGTTGCAACTTGCAATACTTCAAGATTTCAATTAGACTAAATATTAATTCATTAGCACTTTGTCTCCAATTCAAACACAACAAATCAACATTTACAAATTAATAACAAATCATGCCACCAATAAAAGTTGAACTTAACATGATGCACCGCAAAGCTGTTTCGCGAGAGCAAAATCTCATACACGTTCACTCAGTGAAAGCTAACCAGCGCCAGCATTTGACGGTTGTCAATGCCGCTTCTGGAAGGTTGGCATTGGCGGTATGAAGCAGCAACAAACGGTAATATTATGGTTGGCAACGCCACAATGCAACTGTAATATTACTGAATGTAAGTACTGTAGTATTATAGTTATGGTATTTACCGTAAGTATTACAGTAGTTGCACATATGTATTCAGGAACAGATTCTGAAATCAAAGTGACATTTCCATTCCTGTATGTATAAATGGGATTAATAATATACCTATCAAATTCATTCAATGTTATTCAATTTGGGGTGTATGAATGAAAATTTTATTTTCGTTCCTATGATTCTCATTTTTACCGGTTGCAGCTGTAGAATTCAATTAAAGTTAATAAATTAATTAAAATTAAATTTTATTACATTAAATTTATTTATTTGATACACCAGGCAATACATGCTGTAGAATTAAATTCTATTAAAAAAATGTTTAATTGAAATTTTTGATAAAAAATTTTAAATTAAAAATTCATTTTTATTAAATTAAATTGAATTATTTAAGACACCTCATGGTACATGCTCAATGTTTTATGTAATGCAATAATTGCCCCTTCAAATAACAAACATTTTCTGAAAGACCCAATATGTTTGAAAACTCACGATGGGAGACAAAAGCATTCGGAATTTTAAGTGAAGTTATTAAGACAAATTAGACCTAATAGGGCAAAAAAGTGAAAAAAATCATGTCTGGATGTGTATCAATAGGTGTTTAGATTTTGAAACAACTTTCCATGATTTAAATCTCAGAGTGGAATGTGGATCAAATCTATTTATTGTGAAATCAAACTTGACATGTCCTAAACAAAAGTGTGTGACACTGTCTTATCAAATGTGTTCATGGCAGCACTACGTGCCCATATGCCATGGAAGATTTGCAGTTTATCCCATAATTTCATGTGGTTTTGAGAACTTTTTTTGGTATTGGTAAAATTGTGAGAATTCTCTGCTAAAGTTGATGTAATTTTTTTAGAACATTTTCATTGCAAAAATTTGTCTGATACAGATATACGACTAGTGAATGTATTGAAGGGAGGCGTTGCTGACACGGTATCAGGTTTCAAACCATGCAAGATATTGGAACATGGAACTTTTTGAAAGCACGGCAGTTTCTGATGAGCTCAGTGTATCAATGGTCACTGCGCTGGAAGGTGTTACATCATGGTAGGTTTTTTGATCCATTTTCTTATGTTCCATGTGAAAATATTACCTATACAGAATTCCACATTGCGGGAAATTTTTACTGACAATTTTGTAAATTCCCTTCATCCCATATGGTTTCAAAATATGTCATCATGGCAAGGCTAAGGTATTGGCCATGATGCTAAATCATTTACAATAAAGTTGGTGATAGGACCATTAACCCATTAAAGCCTATTGGCAACTTTAGTTGCCACCTCAAAAAAATGGTTGTATTATGCATAATATAAAGTAAATTTCAGTTTTGTAGTCCCACACCGCATCATATACGTTCCATACGATAACTAAACAAGAATTGTTCACCTCGGTTGCTCCCCCTTCATTCAGTTCACTGTGTGACCTTCACTTCAGTTCAGGTCACTGTGTTTTTGATCAGGCCTGAACCGGCACACAGAAAAGGCTATGTTAAAATTATTTGTAAGTAAATATTTTATAATTTTAAGTGTTGAAATTATGGATTAGGAGTCTAGTAATCAGACAAAATTCATAAATGGCATTAAAGATTGATGTTAAAGACAATATAAGCTAAATCATATATAGTGGCAACTGAAGTTGCCACTCGGAATTCGTGACATGTAAACTGTATTTTTGCATGAATGTGGTGATAAAAGGTTGCCTCATGTTCTACATGTATTATAACAAGATAAGTTAACATCCAGTTGATAGAAAGATATTATAATGAAGTTTTATAGTTATATTTATATCATATATTTACATATATTCATACATATATGCATATATTTACAGTATATTCATATGCAAGTGAACTTTGCAAGAAAGCCCAGAATTTTACAATATATTGGTAGATTAGGACGGAAATGACAGTGAAATTTTATTTGCAATTTATAATCCATGGAAAATTCTCATACAGAATTATACATGGATTCAAATGATTTTGACAATAAGGTTGCCCGAAAACCTGATAATTGGCCCAGATATATATTGATGAGTCATGTTGCCAAAATGATAATGAACAAAAGAAAAACCACCTTCAAAGAAGCAAAAATTAATTGTTTACAAATAGAGCAAAGATGAAGTGACTTCGTCAGTACCAAACTTTGGGAAGATTGACATGCTATTCAGTACTCTCTGACTGAGAAAAGTACCTCATTAGACGCAATGACTTACTTTTGTACTAACGAATGCATAAATCATTTATGTGAACAGAGCAAACTATATGCTCACCAACAAAATCTGCAGTGTTACATATGAGATCAATCTTGCAAGCATGGGAGTATTTCTGACTGTATTGCTTCTCTCTTGACACAATAAACTGCCTCATAGAAGGCTTTACTGGCCTGATTTGTTTCACCAACAATTAGCAACTTATCAGATCCAAAATTCACTCCAAAAAATTGTGGTGGTCCCTTTTCTGGGCCACCACTGTAGTTAGTGCCCGAGCTGTAAATGCTTGGAGACACCTTAATACATGCGGTAACATTATTCAGTGGTTGAAATTCATCAGAGATTTTAGTGGAGCCATAAAGACTCAGCCCAGTCAGGAAGTAAAGCGGGTCTAAATTTGCATCACGTGGACCTGCTTAGACTATTGTCCTGATAACTACAGCGGACTACTGGATAGTGAAAGGAGAAACAATGTGTGCAAAATGTCACAACAGCAAAGGAAGGACTGCGTGCAAATGCGAATTATGCACTATTGCTCGAAA